CGAGAGAGAGAGAGCGAGAGAGAGAGAGCGAGAGAGAGAGCGAGAGAGAGAGAGAGAGACGGAAATTACTAAAAACATTTTTCTCAAGTAGAAGTCTAAGGATATACTATGTGCTGTTAGTACTTATATTTTATGCAAAAAATACACATAAATTTGTTTTTACAACTATATAACATTCGTCATAAAAGGCAGCATATAGTTCTATTAATCATATGTACATATCGTGGCTTACCATAGCGGAGTGTTGATAGAGTTTCGCTGTAGTTGATATCAGCTGGACTTATGGCAGCAACCTGGTGAAATTTTCAAACGTCAGTCTCATGAGATTATGTTCCTCCACGCAACGATGCAGACACAACTACACATAACTATAGAATCGTTAATGCACGTTGAAGTAGAGTATTGGCGTTTTCACTTGGCCCTTGGCGTTGGCACTTTTTCACAAAATATAAGTAATTCTGTTCACTTTTCATGGTTAAATTGCTGTATTATACTTCCTATTTTACTATATTGTTCGATGTGAACATACACTCGTGACTCATACATAGCCCATAGCAAGCAATTAATGGCAGGAACATAATATCAAATTGTTCAGGTTTTTTGGATTTTTAACTAATTGAGAAACAATCTTATCAGGTAAGAATTTGACGATACGTTTAGTCCCGTACGTTAGTTCTTACTTTTAATGTAAAAAAATGGCAACAAAAATTTTACAAATTTTACCATAGAAAATTCGTGACGTAGTCAATTCTACATTACCACTACGTACTGTATCTATACTATAGAATAGACGTTCATGCTATAGTAATTAATAGCTGTTTACTGACAAATTTCAGAGTATAATTTGTAACTAGATGACTTACCATGACGATGACCATTACCATTACCATGACTACACAAGTAACTTACCATGATGGTTTTACTGTTGCCTCCCAGAGCATTCTTTAATAGCTTGGTCAGAACAGAGTCACGGAAAGGTACCTTCATCTTCTTACCACCTGAGTAAGAACCCGAGAGAAAACATGAGAAACCGTCCGCGATAAAATATTGCAAGTTGCTCTATCACACGCCATCGATATCTTTTCAACGGGGCTTGGATATAAAAAAGATTAATTATTAACAGGACGTCTTGTCTTGGGTGTGATCAGAGATTTATTTTATTAATTTAATAAATTTGATTTTATTCATTCATTCAATCATTTATTCATGCATTTAATTAATTATTTCTTAATTTTTTTAATTTCTTTCTTTCTTTCTTTATTTACGTATTTGTTTGTGTTTATATGTATTGTCGTGGATATCGTGGATGCTCGTACCTGCGTTGTCAGCGAGCGCGGCGATGACGTTGCCTAGTGCGGACAGCGATTGGTTGATAGCAGCGCCCTCTTTCAGCCGATCTCCCGTCGCTCCCGTGCTCTCCGCCCGCTCGCTGTGAATACAATAACATACGATGTGCAGTACAATATAACACAATAAAACTGTACAATATATAACACAAGCTATATATAGAAAGTTGTTCAGCCGAATTAGTTCGTACTCGCATAACTAGAGAACTCCGCAGCCTAGAGGAAAACTAAAGATATTTTCAGAATCAGCACGTCTGGGAGGTGGTTCTGGCTGAAACAAACATTTAAAAAAGTTGAAAAGTTCAAAATTCTATTCATCAATAGATGGCGGTGCGTACAGATTAACATCACGTACGTGTGAATCCATGGGTATACCCTTAACGGCGCAGTGGCCTAATCGCTAGAACATCCGTCTCCTACACCGGGATTCCGGGTTTGAGTCCCAACTGGGGAACTTATTTTCCCCTTTTTTCCTTTTTTTCCCTTTACCTACCTCTTTAGTATGTATTATTTTAAATTTTAAAATTTTTATTTTTTATATTTAATGTCTTTTATCTTTTGATTTCTTATTATTTTTTACTTTTTGGGATGGGATGGGATGGCATGCGATGGCATGGCATGGCATGGCATGGGATGCGGTGCGATGGGATGGCATGGCATGGCATGGCATGTCATAGGATGGCATGGGATGAGATGGGATGGGATATGGGATGGGATGGGATGGGATGGAATGAAATGGGATGGTATGCGGCGCGATGGGATGGGATGGGATGGAATGGGATAGATGGATGGATGCATGGATGCATGCATGGATAGATAGCTAGTTCGATTTTTTTGGGTATTTTCCTTTCAACCAAGCGGTCACCAACTGAGTAACGCCACTGATTTCCCCGAGCAACGCCAGGTATCCCGCTAGTACAATATAATAGAATACACAGCACACACAATGTATAGAATACAATACAATATAACACAATACCATATCATAAATTAATAATATTAATTTTAATATTAATAATAAATACACACAATGTTTAGAATACAATACAATACAATACAATACAATACAATACACACAATATGTAGATTAGTGTACCTGCCAGCCAAGTCGACGAGGTTAACGATGGAACTCTTTGCCGTTTCCTGGCCGGCCTTATTCTTTGACTTCTGAATGAAGGTGATTCCAACAATAGTGTGAGCTCGGCTAGAAAACCACAGATACGTTACCGAGGTTAGAGTCATCATGGTGCGTCTGTTTGGGCCGATTATATAATCCTGATCGCGCTGATCCAGTGATCCCGCACGTACGTTTCGGCCAATCAGTGATCCCGATCACAAATCGATGAACCCGCTGGCAAGGTGGATTCGAAGGGGATCCAATATGGCCGATGCCAGCCAGACAGACGTGTGAAATGCATGTACACGAAGAGATGTAAACGAATGAAATCGCAACTCGACTGCAGACGCGATTAAATCGCCTCGACCATGCTCGCGCGTACGTAACGTCAGATAGGGGGCGCTCTATGCCGCTCTCACCTGCTGGTGGCGTTCATATTTGTCGCCGCTATCGTCCTGTTGTGCGTTCCCTCCTCCATCTGCTGTTCGATGGCTGCGTAGGTGTCCACATACTGAGTCTTCAGACCTTCAACTGTAACGTAAAGCGAAACGTAAGCCATATGTGACCATGTACCCATTAGCAGTTCTCAGTGAAAACAGTGATGCAGGAAGGGTACACGGAAATATTGGCGAGAGCGGGAGACGTACGAGTTTGAGTTGCGTCCTCCTCATATTTCTCCTCCTCCTCCTCTTCCTCCCCCTCCTTCCTTTCTCTCTCTTCCCCTTCTTTCTGTCTTCTCTCTTCACTCCCTCTCTCTCTCTCCCTCTCCCTTCCCAGCAGTGGTACGAAATAAGAAGCTACACAGGCCAAGGCGGAATACACAGATCGGCGCCGACGACGGCTCTCACTAGCATAGTGACTACAAGCAGCGGTTGCTCGTTACCATAGAAACCCTTCTTCGGATGCTCCCGGATCTTCAGACTCTTTTTCTTGTTCGGCGTCGGGTTCAGGAGGTCGCGAACCTTCTCGCTGTAGATTTCCAGCATGCTGAATTTCACCTGCGAACGAAAGCAACGAACGGGCGTTGCCGTGGGTGCTGACAGACTCGTTCTAAACATCAGCTCCACCAGGAAAAAAATAACTTTTTTTTCCATGGGAGCTCTTTGTCAAGTTTGTGTAAAAAAAATAGCTCTCGTCAAAAATTTTACTGGAGCTATTTTGAGCCTCACGGGAGCAATTTCGAAGGTTTGAAGAGTGAATCGCTCATCGCTCCCGTGTATTTTTTACCCTGAGCTCCACTAGTGTTACAATGTACAGGGGTTCGCTCGTAGCGGGAGCGAAGGGACTGCACTGATAGAGTTATCTACACATCAGCGCAGTCCTGCAGTGCTGTGAGATGTGACAGAGGGTCGTGCAGTAAGGCCATAACAAAAATATTGTTTGTTTGCCCTCACCCGACTGACCCGCCAAAAAAAAACCGACTCAAAATTTTTTTTTTTAGTGTACATTATATAATTCTGTAGGCAATACATTATATGTACCAAGCAAAACAAACATTCCTGCAGCGCTGTGAGATGTGATAGAGCGTCGGGCAGTAAGTACATTGACGTATGATCGAGTGATGGAGGAACTTTACCTACCCTACACATACATTACAGGGTGCGAAATTAACGGCGAGTCCGGAGTCAAATACTCCATGATTTACTGTTGGACTCCCTGATTTGACATATGCAGGAGTCCGTGTGACTCCCTGAAAATTCTGCCATACTAACTATAGTTAATTCAGGAGCACGGCCTCGCGGAATTACCGTATTTTTCCAGCTAATGCCCAAAGAAAATTTGGCAGACGTGCAACCGCATGAATCTTAACAAGAGCCACAGAGCGTCTGGGCTCATCTGAGGTCTGTTGCTACGGTTATAAACGTAACATTTAAGTCGTGCGTAGTGACACCTTTGTTAGGCGCAGATATGCAGATACGCAATTGCGTACACATCATGTCAACAACCTTCTGCATTCTGCATACCTCCCAAATCCCATTGGTTGATACAAATCGCGTGCCTGAAACTCCTGTTTTATGGTGCATTGTGACCCTAACCCTAAACCTAACCCTATTATAAAAAAATACAATTTAATTGTTGTAAAAATTATTTGTTGTTATGAAATTGTTGTAAATAAATCATGTAAATATTTGCCTTAATTGGAAAGAAATAGTTAAATGGATAAAGATAGAAAAATACAGAAAACAGGTAAATAATAAATGATGGGATTCGATCTAAGGATCTTTGAGCCGTAATCCTGTGCTGTAGCCGTTGGGCTATACAGACATATTGGCTTTCCAGATTATGGATGTGCCATGAATATGAGAACACTGTGACATCATTGAGGCAGTTCAGGAATCCATGTTTTTAACCCTCCTCTTGAGGGTCAAAAGGTTATCAGACACTTACTCTTCGCACGTCAGTGGAAAGCACATTTCATAGTCCTTTCAATAAAGTCATAAAAATGGTAGGTCAGCGCTGAAACAAAAAAGTTTTTCACTCTGTCTGTTAGCCCATGTCCTCAGAAAATGTCTGATATCTAACCTTTCCCCCACTGCCCTTTGACCTATGACCTCCAATTTCGCACTGGTGATGGGTTTCCTGCCCATCACACTATACACCAAATATTAAGAACATAGGTCGAGTCGTTAAGATTTGTGCCGCAATTTCGTATTTCCTCCTATACCCTTAGTTAAGATGAGCTAAAAATAAGCACATGCGTTATTGTTAATATCTTTAATTTTGAACCTCAGACTGCGGACTCCCTCATTTTGCTGTGGACTATTTTTAAGCGTAGGGAGTCCGTTGAACTCCCGTGTTAAAAAGTTAATTTCTACACCTGCCCATACGTACGCTACACTTACCTCAAACTGGGTCTTACTGCCAGCCTGTTTCTTTTCGTCTATGCCGTGGAAAAGCTCTTCGCTAAACATGGGCACAATACCTGCAAACGCACGTAGGTACACACATCGAATTTTTAACCCAACACGAATTTTGTGCCAAACATAAACAGAATTTCGAAAAATCGGTTTTCTTTTCATGTTTTCGGTTGATCATAAGAACATACATTTCAGTAAGTGTAAGCGACGAGTCACCGTATTGATATGATCATATCATATTACATTGATATTGTCACATCACGATCATGAGACTTGGTTGATACCTTTGTTGATGCCGTAGCCAACGACGGACCAGGACTTGCCGGAGCCCGTCTGGCCGTACGCGAACAGTGTCGAGTTGTAACCGTCCCATGCATTCTTCGCTACTCCAGTGCCAAGATCATCATAGACTTTTTTCTAAGGTACAATAAACAAAGAATAACATGTGTGTGTGTGTGTCAGTGCGTCTGCGCATATCAGTGTGTGCATGTGTGGTTGCATGCAGGAAACAAATAAATAAATAAATATTCGTCGATCAATATTTTCAATCTACAAAGTGGGAATAACAAAACTACATCATGATGAACATCAATCACATATAATACATATACACATAATATAATACATATACACGTACATAATATAATACATAAATAATAAATATACACATAATATAATACATATATGAACAATTGAAAGGCCGTACACGAAACACGGAATCTTTGACATGTTTTCCTCTTCTGCCATCTTTGACTACTTTTTCTCCTAACGAAACACAATTAAGACCTTTGTACGTTAGTCACACAGGCTGTCACAGCCTGGTCGGCTAGTTCACACCTGAGGTTCACAATCACACCTTGGTTCACGCGCCTAGAAACATCACAATGTAAACAACGCTACGCATTTGTTTAGCTGTGTTTGGTTGCCACGCAACCCATGACAATCGAAGTGGCGCTTCGATCGGATCAACGTCACCGAACAAACCCGGATCCATGTTCCGGATGCGTATCCGGTCGTTCTTCGTATTTCTGTTTTCATTTTTGACGTTTTGTTTCTGTTCGTTTACTGTAGTATATCGGTAGTAGAATATCACGGAATCACCGAGTATCTAGTCCAACGGTCGTTGCGTGTGCACGCGGTACAACTATTGAGCCTTTTTCGTTGTCCCGCGATTATTTCAAGTGTTCGGCCGGCCATCTGCTAGGTAGTCACACACTTCACTAAATCGCAAGATCGGCTCTTGACTGTCTTGGAAAAAACCTAACCGCTGTTACGAAGTGTTAGTGACTAGTGTTGCCGAGTACAGCTGCAGAGTCGGATAATGCTGCAGCGCAACACGTCCCGATATCGAGGTGAGGTTTTGCTGGAAACGGTTACACGCTAGCGCCAGCGAACAATTGAATTGAATTGAATTGAACAACAGTCAAGTCAACAATAAGGCAATTAAGCATGGCACAGTCTTATACAAGTAAATATACATGAATAATTAATAT